TCCTAAGTTAATAAAATATATTAATCATTACAATATTTTAAACGAAAAATTGCAGCAACGGTCCCTAATCTTTTTTAATTTTGCAGACTTTACCATAACCTTCAATTTGTGTCAGTAATGTCTCTAACCTTTTATAAATATGAAGATGAGGTCCAACTTGATGAAAACCATCCATTCGACCATAAGTTGACCTGAAAATTACAAAAATGATGTATTTTGACTATTTTAAGTAAGGGTATTTTCGTTCATACCAATTTTCCATTTGATTTAAAAACAACAAATAAACTGAAAATATATATATCTGCTCACCCCACTCTACTCTACTCTACCCTACCCTAACCTAACCCATCTTCATCTTCTTCTTCCAAGCCAAACAATACTCCAAAACCGTCGTCGTCCCACTTCCTCAACCATAAAATCTTGCTATCGTGCACTTCTTAACAATGTTTACATTTCCCATCTCCTTTATTCACCCCACATTAGTATAACAGTCACCAATTTTTCCTCTTATTTCTTCAAGACTATTTCCTCCACCGTCTTGCTAACTTGCACCTCCTCAATCAAATTCTCCTCCATCATCACCAATTTTTGACCCTTGGCCCAAATCTCCCAACTCATATCCTGCCTTTGATAGAAGTCTTATTTTTTGCTCAAAGATGAGAACTTTTTGGTCTGCAACCTCTCTGCTGCCTTGCTAACGTACGTCGCCACCACCTGCACAACAGATAGGTTCAGGGGTGGAGCCAAGGTTGTAATTCAGGGTGGGCACAATTTATCGATGTTGAACGTCGAGTTTTTGGTTATGAATTTAACGATGATAAAAATATAAAACAATATTACCCATATTCATAGGTGCAATTCTGTAACAATTCTATAAAGCACATTCAACAAAACACAAAATTCAACAATTCACAGTTGCAATTCAACAAATTTCAACAATTCACAAATTTTTGGTTGTAATTGATAGGTGCAATTCTATAAAAATTCACATAAAAGCACA